CATTCTATGATTCTATGATTGTACTACACTACGAGTGAACCAGAAGTAGTTATTCCATACCAAGTGCATCAAGTAGTTGAGCTCAAATCAAATAGGCTTTGATCTTTCAGTCATTGGGTGATGCTGTCTCCTTTGCTTTGATGATTTTCTTCACACTGACTGAGGAGAATGACACTTGCCTTGATTGTTACGTTGCTATGAAAAGTCACCTCAATTGGCCATCACTGGCACATTACTAATGAAAATGAGCTATGTTTGGAGAATCCTAGTATGCCTTTCAGACTACAGCCTGAATTTAAACACATCTTGCCTAAGAAGTACACCCAGTGGTATTTTTCTCTGTATTTTACTTCCCTCTCAGACTGTTACAAATTTACAGACAAGCAAAGGTTCTCTGCGTGTGTGCATGCACACTGCAAATTATTGACATGGAGGAAAGTATCTTCCTCTCAATAGTCAAAATCAACTTTGTGTAAAATATTTTAAGAACAAAACCTGCAGAGTTGGGTAGAATTGATAACAACTATGGAAAAGAACTGGCTGGCATCCCACATACCTTACTTCAGAGAAACCCCAGTTCAGCAAAGCACTTAAGTATGTGTTTAACTTTAATCAAGGGAAGTTAAACACATGCTTAAACTTAAACACGTGCTAAAAGCTTTGCTGGATAGGGTCCCAGCAAGGCCTAAGGCTGACTGGGTAAGGAAGCTAAGCAAGGTAACAAATCCCATCAGATTAAATGTAGCATCTTTGGGGAAGGGTAAAGAGTAGAGATTCTTTCCTTCTGATAATACATAAAATTTTGTGTACCAGCCATGTACAGATGTGAACATGTTATGAATCACTCAGATAAAAAACTGGGCTGTGAGTCAGTAAATACATAAATATTAAATGCCAAAATAAAGACATGATCTTCTGTATTTCAAAAAAGCTTGTCAGTTACCAAAAGGAGGCATACATTGTGTGGTTGGGAGTAATTAGTCTCCATCTCCACAAATTACACTGTATGAGCCACTGCCAACATAAGCTTTCCATATTTTGAAATATTTTCTCTCTAAATGAAACCACCCACTTTCTGAGTAATTCAGATTTTTTTTAATCCCCTACAGATATATATGAGGCAGAAATAACCCTTGTCCTTAATGGAATATTAGCTCATGGAAAGAAAATTTTAAATGTAATCTATATAAACTGATTATTTGATATAGCAAGGAGCATCCATCCCTGCCCAAACTTCACCTGTTTTTATGGACAAGGATACTTACTTCATTCTTCCTTTCTCACCTTTATGAAAAGGAAAAATGCAGCTCAGATAAATAAAACAGGTCATCCCCTAAGAGTGGAAAAAGTATATTCTTAAAAAAAAAAATTTATAAAGTGTGCTGTGTGTAATTTCTAAGGGAAACAGCTATGGATCACTGTGGTTCACAGTCAGAGATCCTGCTCTCTGTGTAAGACCCTAGGTATAGTTTTTCGTTAGCTGGCTCTGTGCAGCTTACTGCTCAACACTTTCCTTTCACCCCCCAAACCACCCTTTGGAGGCACCTTTTTGCTTTGATGAAGCACCGAGGCTTAGACCGCCTGAGCAGAAATCTGTTATGGGCCTGATCAGACTTAAGAGTCCACTGTAAGAGTTACTGCGTGCCATGCAGTTATGCAATGCTCCAACAGAAAAACGGGAAAGGTGATAACTGATTGGCTTCTTATTTGTTTGATTTTGATTTTAAAATCTACAGTGCTCTCATTCTGGGAGTATAATTTAATTTAAGGATTCCTTATTCTTCAAATTCTTGAGGAAAAATGTAATAGTGGTTATTTATAAAATGTGATAAATCAGAAAAATTAGCAGTTTCCAACTACAGAAAATGTATGAGCATCTAATTTGCATTTGGAATTGTACAGGAAAAACATGATTCATACACACATTATTTCTGAAGAAAAAAACACCCATGATTTGTTAAAGAAGTTGTACTCTTATAGGTGAAATCAGATTTAGACATTTTTAGCTGCTATTAGGAAAGGAAATTAACTCTATTGTCCCAGGCTGATTAAGCCTAAACTGTATCACAAAGGTGATGTTCACTGTATATTTCTCTTCCTGAGGCAATGCTTCTGTAGACGAGGGATGGAGAGGATGAATTACATGGCAAACAAACCAGAAAGTAAAAAATAATGCAAAACTTTGGCATTCATATTTTAATAGTGTCTTGATCGAGAACAAGCAATGCAGTGGATTAAGAAAGAAAGGCTTCCAGCATTTCTAGAAAGTGACTGTTACTTTGAATACAGGTACTGCAATCTTTTATGCTGTCTCTCAGTTTAAAATTGTACATTTTTCTGGTTAATTCATCCTGACAATACTCTTAATATGTTTTCTCCCCCCTCTTGTCCTGTTTGTTTAATTTTAATATTTTAGTGACCTGGATCAATAACTTTTTCACTCATCATTCTGTAACTTTCCTTGACCGTGAATTTCATATTATATTATGCCATTACAAAGAGAGTGGGGTTTACTGATTTCTGAATCTCTGTTCCACAGAGATATCATGGTAGCAATGAATCTTTCTCTAATCAATGTATAAGCCATGTAAGTGGAAGTTATGAATCCATGACATTTATTTGGAAAAAAACCAACCAGTCCTTTTTATTTCAATTATTAGTTTTGTGTCTTTGGGCCCACTGTCAGGCTTCCTTCTGCAAGGTTCTCTGTGGGATGCCGTGGCACAGTTGGACATTTTAGTTATACACTTGTTATATTTTTCCAGATGTCCTTTCAGCAGATGTTCAGGAGGTTCAGTGTGTTTTCTGAGAGGATCTGCCTCCACACCCCTTAAGGTTCTGTCTTGATGTTGATAACTGTAGTGTGTGTCAGGGTCCTAAGAGGAGAAGCAGCCTGGCAGTACGGTTCACAAAACTCAAGCTGCTGATTGCAGTGACAGACTAGTTATTGGGGTATAGATGTCTACATTTAGAATTTCAAAATATTCTAAACTTTTGATAACCTGAAGACCACACTTAGATTCAAGGGGACAGCTGCACAAAGAACAAGCAAACCGTGAAAGAGTGCTCTGTTTTACCTTTAGCAGCACTCTGCTTGACACGTATCTGGGCCTCATGAAACACTAAGTTTGATCTGCTATGGCAAAGTATTTCTTTGATTAAGGAGTTAGCTAATAGAAATACATAAAACTAACTAAGCATGCACCTAATTTCCATTCGTATCAGTGGTTTAAGTTGCTTTCTTCAATGAGGATCAAGATAAGCTGAGATGCTAAAAGAGAAACTTGTCTGAAGATACCCCAACCTTAGATTGAAATCCTATTTGCCCTTAAATAGTGGGGACAAATGAAACTGGGTATTCACTCATGGTTGTAGGCTCAGGCAGAGGCTGCCTTCTCTTCACATGCATCCTGGTTGGATTTGTACCGCTTTCTGACTTAGTTACTAAGTTCTGCCCCAGTTCTTGGGCCCAGAGCATGTTCCTATCATCATGTCGTTCTACGATTGCCTTTCCTGACCGTTGGGAAGTTCACACTAACACAAGGCAGCACTGGGGTGCTGTTCAGTACTGTGAATTCCTCATACAGCAGCCAGGTGAATATGATAGTCCCAGCTGTCTTGTTATCATCCGTATGACCACTGCTCTGGCACTGCTGCTGGATGATTGCTTGTATGAGGACAATGCAAAGCAGGCCACCATCTGTAAAGCTGGTGGGCTGTGGCATGGCAGTACTGGCATTTGCATATATGACAGTAGGCAAAAGGTGAAATAATAAAGCAGATCATGAAGTTCTCTGTAGCAATTTATTTTTAGATTTGTTTTTTATTGCCTATTCTGGGGAAAAAATCAAATTTCTCTGATTAAAAGCAAAATTAACTATTTTCTCAACATCTAATTTCAGGCTAGCTAAATTGATATCACAGGTAGAATGGAGCAAGACTGGAATTAATTTCATTATAGATAGTGACTACTATCCCTGGATAAGGAAGCAAGATGCAAGTTCTCCCCCTGCTGAGGATGACACCTCATTGATTATGGGGAAAAAATCAAATTTCTCTGATTAAAAGCAAAATTAACTATTTTCTCAACATCTAATTTCAGGCTAGCTAAATTGATATCACAGGTAGAATGGAGCAAGACTGGAATTAATTTCATTATAGATAGTGACTACTATCCCTGGATAAGGAAGCAAGATGCAAGTTCTCCCCCTGCTGAGGACGACACCTCATTGATTATGAAGAAGTTCTACATATCGCTTGGCCAGGTAAAATAAACAAGTTTAGCAGGTGTAACACCAAGAGAGATTGAATGCACTGGGTTAAATTATTGTAACTGCGGTCAGAACCTAATTGGACAACCGATTGTCTGAATGTCCCTTATTTTCAAAGCTCTTTATATTACAGAAAGTTGATGGGCTGTAATACAGCTTAAGCAGAAAACGTGTTACAAGTATACTCAGCTACTGCCATACAGCTCTCTTTGCTGGGAGCTAAGTTACAGAAATCTATACAAACAGACTGCACAAAATGACTACAGACAGTAGGCCCTCTGCTCTCAGAAGCACTGCAATAAATAGAGACAACTGAATTATTCTATGACATTTCTTTTCCTAGGCTACAGTTTCTCAGAACAAGCATCCTGTAGCTTCTAGTCAAATTCAAGATATTCAGTGTTTGCCTGGGCAGCATGAAAGAGACAATTCATTAAGTGAAAAAGATAGCCTTCTGGGTAAGTAACAGGGTCTCAGTCATAACATCTATAACACAACTCTGACTAGGTGGACAGAAAAGGCCTTCTGAGGAATTGCTTCTCATTCCACTTATTACCTTCTGGGTATCACGTAGTATATTAGGCCTCAGAAAGCAATTTTTTTTCTTTCCATAGCCACAACATTAAATGAAAATTTGAGCTAATAGCCAAGTAATTTTGTGATAGTAGAAACCTCTTGTCTTACATATTTATGTCTTACAGATACCTTAAGTTTCAGCTGAGGTTGGTTTTTTTTTTTTTCCCCATTCGATTTGTTTTGAAATACTTTCTTGTCTGAATTCTTTGGGTATTTGATAATGTATGATTTGTGTTGCAGCCATGTTCTTAGGGTATTTATGTTGGGCACGTAAAGACCTTTGGCTGCCAATTTTTATAAATCTTATAGAATGCAATTTTTTGTGATGCTACTGTCTGACAAATTTAAATGAAATTGTTCCTTTTTTGTTCCAAAGGTTTTGGAGAGAACATACAGTTGCACATATGGACACACCTGATAGCATAGCCTTGCTTCTGCTCTGTGAGCAATAGCAAGATGAACAGAGAAGTCTCAGCTCATATGTCAGGAGTTCTTTCTCCTCCATTCCTAGAGGAAAAAGCAGCCATTCCACTTTGAGACTTGTACTGCTGGGACCTCGGAGTCCAATGGCTGAATGGGAAATTGGAAGACATGGTAACTCCAGAAGTCTGTCTTCCTCCCCAAACACATTAAATGTATTGCTGATACATGGATTGTTAATGAAGTTAGTAAAGTCTCACTTGTTTCTAGCTCATGACTCTACTGCCAGGATTTGTCTCACTTTGAGCAGGGAGGTCACACAGGCATTATTTCTGCAGAGTCTTGTAAGCTAGTGTAGCTCTGTATTGCAGTGGGCTGGGCACAGGCCTGTGGAAAGCGTCTCTGTCCTCTTTTGCTGCAGTTGTCCTGCAGTCAACAGCATTTTGCTTCAATGAATTTTTTATATCTTCCTCTGAAAACTTTATAACAGTCTTTAATTTTGCATGTGCTTATTGCTCTTCTTTATGCTTATTTAATGGGAAATCCAGCATTCTTTCTGTCAGAAAACTTTTTTTTAGGCACAGGATTCACCTGGTGTAGAGGTCATAGAATCACAGAATGGTTTGGGTTGGAAGGGACCTTAAAGACCATTTAGTTCCAACCACCCTGCCATGGGCAGGGACACCTTCCACTAGACCAGGTTGCTCAAAGCCACGTCCAGCCTGGCCTTGAACACTCCTAGGGGAGGGATCATCCACAATTTCGCTGGGCAACCTGTTCCAGTGCCTCACCACTCTCTGTGTGAAGGATTTCTTTCTTGTATCTAATCTAAATCTACCCTCTTTCAGTTTAAAGCCAGGGTCAGGCACTGGAAGAAATAAAGAGCATTAGCTAAGTTTCTCAGAGCCTGCCTGCAATTAGAGAGAGTTCAATAGCTAAAGGAATTTGCTTCGAAAATCCAGCTTGAATTCTTTGCTCACTGCTTCAGCTGGATCAGGGTTATCAATTATTGTCTTGAGCAAAACCCAGAGCCACTTGGCTTTTGATTACTCGGGAGCTGTGTGTATCTCTTTGTAATTGCCTCAGGTCCTGTGAAATCATTCCTCGTGTTTCAATTTCACAGAACGGTTTTGAGAAGCTGTAATTTTTCTTTGTCAAGTGAAAACACTTGAAATATTTTAGAAAGAAGAAAAGATGTTTTAAATCCCACTGATTTTTATATTAATGTCAACATATTGTGCCACATGTTCTTACACATGAAATCATCTAAATGCAGAGCAGGGAATATCTATCCCTTGTTCCTAATCCAAGTATGTGTCTGTGACAGTGGCCAGCATTGGTCAGACGTGGCTTATTTTCAGGGAAAGGTGGAAGGAATGTCTAACTGCCACTGCCATTCATTGACTAGGCCACCACAGAGGGTTACACAGGTTGATAACATTACAATTGTGAATTTAGTGGATCTGAGAGATTTAGCCCTTTTCTATCACAGCCTGATGTAGTGCATGTGCTCAGAGGTTGTAGCAGTCTCCTCAATGATACAAAAAGTATAAAAACCTACATCTCAGCTTTAGGGAAATACAGAAGATTCAGTTCATTTTATAGTTTAAACACTTCATAACAAAGATATTGTAGAGCCACAATTGATTATGACTTTTTGTTTTTCTTATTTTCATGTAGATTCTATTTTTGTTCACAAAATCTGTAGTAATTCTGCCCGGTTTTACAGGACTGACTTTAACCTAGCTCATCAGTACGTAGAGTCAAGGCTATCTTTGCTAACATGCTCCAAAAATATTCTGTTTGCTGAAAGTCTGGCAGAAGTAGACAAGATATTTGAACAAGTCAAAGCACTAAGTTTCTTTCTCAACAGACCAGGATGGCAGGGCATACTTAATACCATGGGGGCGATGAGGGGTTGGGCAAAAGGAATGAAGTAGTCAGGTGTAGACTAAAAAACCAGGCTGGTGACTGTTAGTTACGGTAGTTATGGAACGTCTCTAAATGGGTGGTAGACTGGACTGAGGATTGTTAAATATTTCAAGAACCCTTTACATAATAATTTATTTTGTTGTCCTTCTATGTATGTCAAGATTTTACCCAACTGACAAAGGCCTGTTTGATGTTTTAGTCTTTTGCAATAACCAATGTAAGTAGACACAGAATTATCACTTACTAGCTTCCTCAGGCCTAAACAAAAACCAATCCTGCTACATACTGTGACTTTGATCAAACTATGACCAAATGCTCAGGAAGAAACCAGGCCTTCCAGCACAACAAGGTGGTTTAACAAATGCTGAGGAGCTGGGATGCTCAGCTGAGTAAACAAGACAATTGGCTCCAGAGGGAGTTCTTCCTGAACTCTGCTGCTCTGCTGGAATTCAACAGGGAATGAGTTTCTGAGTCATGGGGCTGAGTTTCTAGCCAGATAGCAGCAGCGGAAGCACCTCTCCTATTCCTTGCTCTGCAGTGTGACATGGTCTAATTGTTGGGCAGTAACACAATGGAAAGACGTTGCATGTTTTATCTTGGAAATGTTGATATGCAAGAGAACAGTCCTGAAACCAAAAGGTTGTTCAATGATCTTTTCTCATGTGTTGCAGAAGCAGGTTCCCTGTCTAAGGAATGCCACCAACGGAGTGTCCTTGCCCCTTCAAGGACAGAATCAGCAAAAGCCAACATTATTAGGGAGAGATCCAGAGCGGTTGAGGAGGGTTCTTCTGTGGCTGTTGCTGAACCTCCTTCCCACACTCAGTTAAGAGTTTGTCTAGACCCAAAATGGGACAGTGCAGCAGCAGAAGAAAATGGACAAGAAAGCATGACTTTTCAGACACCAGAAGAATTCATACCAGCTTATACTCAATTTGCAATGAAGGAACCTGTCTCAGAACTGACCCGCCAGCCAGCTGCTGACATTGAGAGTGATGTGGATTTCCACAAACAGCCTGAAGTGTTCACACATGATTTAGCAAACAATGAATTTGCCCGTGGTACTGCAGACTCACTCTTTTTCCAAAGTCCTTCTCTATTTACTGTCTTGGACTCCAAGGGAGATGTAAGAGAACGAGATACTGAAGAAGCAAGCTTAAGATCAAGTTCTGAAAGTGATGGGGCAGACAGTAGGGCTGCCTGGTGTGTTAGTCACAGGACTTACGACACTGGGAACAGACAAGATTTTGAAAGATTCAAGAAGTTCATTAAAGGAACACTTGGGGAGAGGTACTGGTGGCTCTGGATGGATATTGAAAGACTAAAATCTCTCAAGGACACTACAAGGCAGCAAAGGTACTTCCCACTATTTCACAGTTATTCCCATTGTTTTAATACTTATAACCCAGCTAGATCAATGTAGGTTTTAAGACTTCAGAATAAATCATAATGTTTGAATAGAACAGACAAAATTAAAGTAATCATGAGAAGTAATCATGAGTGTCTTGACAAGGTTAAGTCAGGAACGACTGCTGAAGATGATAAAACTCTTTTTGCAGAGTCATGTTTCCAGCAAAGCTTTCATGAAGTCAGAATCATCAAACTATTCAGGCTTTGTTAGAAAGAGATTTGGAAAACAGATGGCAGAAATTAAAAAAAGAATAAAAGAACTTAAATTCACAAGTAGGGCATTCATGACAAACTGCTTTAATGAAAGGCTCTGCTGGATTCAGATTGTCTGTTCTAAGGCACTCTACATTTCATCTTATACACAACCTGTCTCCAATTTACAGAAGAATTGTTTTGGCTTCTGCCACTTACAATTCAAAACATGTTGCATGACAGCAGTTTAACCAGTAGGATGAACTGTACTTGGTTCTGTATAGTGTCTGAGACATACTTATGTGACTATTTTTGTTGATTCAAGGCAACTCAGTAAGATGAAAAGACTGTATCTGCTGAGCAGTGGAGATTATTTCCTCAGTTCGGAAGTGTTACTCAGACTTGATCTACTGCATGGAGATCAGTGGAATATAAGGCATTTGAGACGGATTCAGCCTGAAGTAGTGAAACCTCTTCTTCTTTACTGGTATGAAAAAGACAACAGGAATTAAGATTCTGTTATTTAATACATTTCCTTTTTATTTGATAAGCCTGTTAGGTTTATTTAATCTCATTTATCCCATTACAATTATGGGAAGCAATGTCATCGAAAATACTAGCAGATTCTGCCTCTGAATTTTTAGTTGAGCCTAAACTACATTGCAATCTGCTATGAAGCCAGATAGATCTGCCTTACTGAGCTCTTGGTTTTTCACTGCCAGAGCATCTGAGCTCCTTTGTGTACAGCTGCCTTGGATACCGTTCAACTAACCTTTAGGCTACAGGGTAGAGAAAACCTGCCAGGCATACAAAGTTAAGTCTGTCCTAGCCTATACTCCATATTACTCTACTCAGGTTTCTGAGAATGATCTGTGTGTACATCTATGTGCGATTTGACCCTGAGACTTGACTGTTCAATGTCTGTCAGACAAAATGCCTTTTACATATTGACAGCTTAAGCAAGGATACAAATTCCAACCTGTTTCCAAAACATAAAATATTTCTTTTAAGATATTCTCTCCTCCCAAAGGGGGATCAACAAATTTCAGGCATAAACAAATATCTGCAATTGTGAACTTTGCTGTGGAGCCTCACAAGAGTTGTGTTCTATGTCCTGTAACCTACAATCCTTTCCTATTCTTTCCTGTAGGATGGATGGGGAATATCCTACTGCAGACTCACAGGAAAGTAACTATGTATTGGTGCAGAATTTACAACCTATGATTATTTATGTGTAGCTTGGTTTTAGGTTTGGAGAAGCACAATGTCTAAACTTATCTTTAACACTAACTAATCTTTAATTTTAGGTGCATATAACACCAGATCTTGATACAGTAAACACCATCATGGGAAAAAAAAAAGAAAAAGAAACCAAATAGCTCAGTATTCATGTTTTGGAAAGTTCTACTTATTAGCTTTTTTTTCCCCTAGGGGTCCCAGATTTTGTGTCACTCATTCAACAGCAATAGAAACTGCCAGTGCAAAACTGAAGTTCTGGCACACATTGCAAGAGAGACGAAAGGTGGACATTGATCCTTTTCCACAAATTGTATCATTGCTACCATTGACACCTAAGTCTGGCATGCCCAGGATACAACTTTCCCTTCCTCAGGTAGGTAGGATCACAACATTGAAAAACAAAGCCTTGTCCCATCAAAAATAATGATAAAACTCCTTGAATTCAAAGGGACAAGAATGGTACTTGATTGTTAGGATGTTAAGACTTTGCAAGTGGCCTGTTGCAGGTGGTTGTATATGCAAATGTATCTGCAACAATTGAGTCTATTTATCTTCTCAGTTACATCCTGGTTATTTCATGAGTCACTTGGGTAGATATTTTAGCTTGAAATTCTCAAAAGTGCAAAATTAAGCAGTGCAGATTCTGCTCTTCAACCAGCCTTATCTTAATCCAGAGTAACTATTACAATTTTACTGCAGTTACCCTGAATCTATCCCTCATGTTTGTAAAAAGGACAGAGTTCTGCTAATTTGCTACACCACAGTCCTTCAATCAGCTACACATGAGTTTTGCTTTCTACAGAGGGCCATGAACCACACACAACACACACCTTTCCATAGCGTGTAGCTTGCAGGTGGCCAGTTCAATTTTGACTCTTCTTCCTTGAAAGCCTGGATTTTAGAGGTAACTGCAATGAAAGCTGCAGGTTTTCATCAACAAAGTGTTAAGCCTTAGGCCAGAAAGCACTTGGAGAATGTGAATTGAGACCGTGGTTCCGGTATCAAGAACTGGATGGGCTATGTCACGGGTCTGTTCACACACAACTCTGTTACTTTGAGTTGGATAGTTTTAGACTGCAATTATATTTTTTGAAAAGCTAATTCATGGAGATAATGGAGGAAAAACAGTGGGAAAGATTTCCTCTTCAGAAGAAGCTGGGTTCAGGAGCCAGATTCCTG